CTTTGTCATCAACTTGGAAGCTTCCCTTCTATAAAGAACCACTCCTTTGGGGAACTTTTCAGTAGGTCTGCAGCGTCAGCACGACCCCGTGGCAGTCACCTGAGTCCTGCCGGACCCGCCCTGTGTTTACTTTCTCTATTATCGCTTCTTCCACACCTTGATGAATCTAATATATAAACTGTATGTATTATAGTGTCTTTCTAGTTTTCTTCTATATACATGACAAGCAATGGGCCAACCTTTGCACTTGTTTCGCACCGCCAAAACGGTGAAAAAAGAGAAACCCACAAAAGGTTTCAGGGTAACCCGCAATCGTGCTCCAACTCCACAGCACCGGTGGAACCCGTGTCCGATCCACTCGTAAAAGACAGTACTGACTCTTTGATTCAGGAACAGCTTAGCTGCAAGCCATTGCATTATATCAGGCAAGGAACAGCATCCACAACGGCAAAACGGGACGGCGAAATATTGCCAGTTTGATCGGGTCGGCTTCGCTTCGGTATACCCGAATAAAATTCCGGTCCAAGAAAACCAGTTGCCTGCCGCCGGAGCTCCAGTTCGAGAGGGCCCGTCAACTATTACTGACCCTTGTTGCAGCCCCACCAGCTTGTTACGCAGGTTTCAATGTGGTTTAGCTTATATATAGCATCTTGACGTGCATACTGGTTTTGGGGCACTTGGTTAATTCTAGTTATGGGAAATAACATCGGATTTATGCCGGTAATTTTTTATTATGCTATTTAATCATGAATTGGTGGGATTAATGTGTTTGTGGGTTTTTGGAGACAATTTTGGGATATGATTATTGTATTTGTTAAAATTATAGGACATGAAGGATTATTAAATTTTCAATGTCGTTTGAATTAAGTTGCTAATAAGAGTGAATAGGAAGGATGCCTGTTTGTTGTTATGTGTTATTTATATCTGCATATTATTAAGAGCAAAAGTAATGAGTTTTGTTTAAATTGTCTATCTACTCTGCAATTGGTTTCTCTGTCTGACAGTGATGGTCGAAGTGTTAAATTTTGGTCTTTAATGTAATCATTTTACTTTCCCTGAATTTAGTAATACTGGATTTGTTGGAGGCTAATTTGGGCTAATTAGTTGATTAATAAGTCCTTGCTTGCCTATGTTTCTGAAGATTGCAAATTTTGGTCTTCAATGGTTCCTACATATATTTTTCAATTAATATCATCTTTCATCCTTTTATTCTTTTTATGTGATATTTTTAGGAATTTACCTTTTCTTCGTGACAAATTTTATGTGGGATATCTAAAGGCTTTTTGGGAAAATGAATTTGTCAATTTGAGTATACACTTCTATTTTTACAATTCTCTTTCGTTTTCTCGTTGCTCTTAAATGGCAAGAAGATCAGTGGATCATCATGTAAATAGTTTGAAAGAGACATTGTTGAAGGAACAAATTTATATGTCTCTGTAAGACTTCCCCATGGGCCACTTCAAACTGTCCTTAATTCTTAGTTAATTATTTATGCTCATTTAGATTTTGGATGCATGTGTTACTTGTGTCTTGTGGTTTGAGTTTAATGCATTGAACTAGTCATTGACATTAAAATTTAAGAAAATATAGGCAGTCAAAAATCACATTGCTTTACTAAATCTATTAGAACATCAACTGATATTGTAGCAACCTATGTTATTAGAATTTTCATTTTGTGATGCTAAGTAATGGCCTACAGTTTCAAGATTAATAATTTAGGGAGATCGTAAAGAGAAAATCCAAGAGTTATGGAGAATTGGCTATAAATTTATAATTGTAACGTACTAAGAGAGTCTAGAATCTATGAGTAGCTAGCCATACAAAACGTTTGTCATGTACTAGAATGTTCGAAGTACTTAGATCCGAGTGCTTTAGGCCACGTCCCGGATTATATCCTCCTTTGGGAATCATCGTCCAATCACTGTTGGCATCTTGATTTTGAGATTTCTCATATGCCTTATTCATGTGACATCTAGCTGTGGGTATAAGGTTATTTTACCATAAGATCGTTTGAGGATCAGTTCTTTATTATGTTCCTAAGATTTTCTGTGCCTAAGCACCTTTGTTTGAGTTTCTCTGAGACAAATTTTGCATAGCAATAAGATCGCGCATGGAGGTCTTGTTAACCTGGGATTGATTTGATAACAGCGTTTAAAAATTGTGTATCTGAACAAAAGTGGCTTTTGTGGGTTTATGCTTTCACAGTTCTTCACTTGCACTCTGTGAAATTCAATTTTTTTTTCCGCTAGATCGTAGTCTTTCCTTTTCAACAGATTATCAAGCTTGGATGGCCTTGACACAATCATTTTGCGCCATGATTCATGGGGGAGGCTTTGGTGCCTGGTGTTGGTACAAACAATAGCACTTCTGAAGAAGGAGGATACCTCAGAGTATAGACTGCAATAGAGTTTAACTGAGCTCTGGGAGTATCATTCTTAGAGGCTGGATACAAATTGCATTACCAGTCTCTTCCATCAATAGTGGTGTAAGCCTCTACGTAAGGACTTTGCTCGAGAAACTTGCTTGAATGGGGAGAATCGGTTATTTCTATGTCTTTGTTGGTCATTGTCTTCTCTTTTAATATGTTTGCTGTCTTTCTTAGTAGAAGTTGGGTTTGAAATAATTTTATCAAATTCCCGAAATTATGAGAACCACATCAAAATATATATATTCTGTTTCAAATTTGTTTGAGATAGGTTCATGCACATCCTTATTACTATGTCTTGCTTTTATTGTTCTCTACCATGTGATTACCCTGTTCGAGTACACGAAACTTTTTATTTGTATCTGTCAAGATGTGACTAAACTGTAGCGTTGCAACTCCTATTGGTTATTTTACAAGAAACTATTAATTTGAAATTAAACTATGGAGAAAAGTTTAATCAGAAAATTTCCAGATCTTGAGGTCGCTCTAGTTAGCTGTTGAAAATACCAAATACATGATTAATCGAGTATTAACTAATATATGAGCGGAAGAGTAGTTTATCTACAAGTTAAAAACACACCTTCTCATTTATTTATCTTTCACCACATTAAAGAGGACAAAGAATTGGATGTATGATTACACCCATGCATGTATGTTTAGTAGTGCAAATACGTTGCGCATTCATGAAGTTTAATGGTTCAGTTTAAGTTATTTGTTAATGCGTGAATGCAAATTGATGCTAGTATTTTAGATTCGTTTCCTTGTTAATTGTGGCTAATTTTCTAATGCAAGGTGCATTTTTGAGTGGGCATGATTTGGCGGTGGCTGTATATCATATGGAATGGATTAATTTCCTTATAGAAGCTTCAAAAGGCTATTTTTTAGTTGCTGCATTTCGAGCTAATGCCTGAGTAATGACAGAGCCACTCTTGGAGCAATGCTTCATTCACAACACGGTTTGCCCCTTGCTAAAATCCTCCAATTCATTTCTAATGGAAAATATTTCGATTTGTGATAATCATTGATTTTGTATGTTTTTCAAAGAAACTTCCTTTATAGGAGAAATTGACATCCGAAACGTAAATTTAGGATAACCCGTAGTATGGGGTCAAATTTACTGACGACCACTTAATTTGCATTTAATTTCATTAAAGTCACATAATTTCAATTTGTTATTTTTTTTAAGTCACTCAACTTTAATTTTGTTCAAACGGGAAGTTCACCTACTGAAATCCGACAAGTCGGAATGGTAATTATGACACTAAAATATTACATATTTCACAAAAGAAAAAAATCAAGATTATGAAGAAAAGGAAAGACAGAAAAATAATGCTAACATAATGACAAATGGTAGAGTGAAATTTAATTAATTTTATTTTTTTAAATACATTATTTTCTTAAATAAATTATATGTAAATTTTAATTAATGTATTAGGAAAGATGTGGATTTTTTTTAAAAAATGAATAATTTTTTTTTGTACCGATATTAGTGTTTGTTGATGAATCGAATTCTGAATGAGTAACCTCCTCATTCGGACCACTACACAAAATTCTTCTTCTTATATATTTAGTGACTGATAAATTGAAATTAATGTGAATGTAAAGAATTAAATGTAAATTTGACCATTAATAATAATTACACCCTGATAGTTTGAATTGCTTTCCGTTAGTATGTGTTCCATAGCTGTTTTTTTTTTTTTTTTGTTTTATTTTTTTATTCCAATTTTTTTACTAAAAATGAAGTGCTGTTTTTGGAGCTTGGCTTAGTTCTTTATATTCTTAATAAGGTATCAATCCACCGCTAAATTCTCCAAGACATGTAACAATAAAACTGAATATTTTTTTTTTTCCTAAATCAATTTAAACGATTTGTTTTGCGGGTCCAACTAAAGTGTTGAAGTCGTTTCTGCGTTTTCCTGTGGGACATGCCGAAATGGTTTACCTGATACAGATCCATTTTGGAATTAACAGAAGTTATTTCTCTATGTTAGACTGAGGTTGTCCAACTAGTCGACTGTGGTTAGTCTTGAGAGAGGACATGACATCAGCACATGTACTGGCTTTTTTTTTTTTTTTTTTTTTTTTTTTTTCCAATTTTTACTAAAATGATGCTGTTTTGGAGCTTGGCTTAGTTTTATATTCTTAATAAAGGTATCAATCAACTATTCAAGACATGTAACAAAAACTACTTTTTTTTTTTTCTAAATCATTTAAAGAGTTGTTTGCGGCCAACACAGTGTTGAGGTTTCTGCATTTTCCTGTGGGACATGCTCATGGTTTACTGATAAGATCCATTTTGGAATTACAGAAGTTATTTCTCTATGTTAGACTGAGGTTGTCCAACCTAGTCGACTGTGGTTAGTCTTGAGGAGAGGACATGACATCAGCACATGTACTGGCTTTAGGATCTACATATGCATGGATAATTTGAGATGCAATTGATAGTTGTTTAGTTTGCAAGTCCATTTCTGAAGCTATATTTAGACATAACCCTACCCATCTCAGCTTTCAATATTCCTGTTAATGTTATTGCTTGACAAGAGGTTGTCTTTTTTTCTTCTCCTTTTGTTCTTCTTACTAATTCAAAATTGTTGCAGGCAGATTCAAATGATTTGATGCGACAGGCACAGATATTTGTTTATGCAAATGGGAGCAGTCTTCCTCCGACTGCCATTGACCTGGACAAATCATTATTGAAGGAGTTGCTGTTCAACCAAAGTCCTGCAAAGGTATGGTCCAACCTCATTCTTTGCTTTTTGTCATTATTCGAATTTGAGAGGCAGTCTACTACATGGTCTTTGATCTGGTGTATCATTGCCTATCGGTCTTGGGATTTTATCTCCAGGCTAGCAACTCCCCTACGGATATAGGGAGTAACTTATGTAAGTGATTTGAGATGGAAAATGGGTCACCCCATTTTTTGTATCTCAGGCAGGCCTCCCAACAAATGCAAAAAGGTAATTTGATCATGCTGATCTAAGAGCATACAAAAAATGAAGTTTGCACAATGGCATCTAAAGGAGTCTTATAAGGTTTCTGGTTGTCTAAACATACTAACTTTCTGTAATCATCAATTTAATATGGATAGTGAGAGACTTAGACCACAATCTTGGCAGTGCTTAGCTTGGCACAACGTGATCAAAATTTATTCGTTTGAAACTTAACATCTAGGAAGGCAGACAGGCTAGTTAAAATACCATGTGCAATTAAGTTTTTAGTAGGAAGACCCCTATAATTGTGGTATTAAGTCTTCTTTCCTCCTGACTCTATTAGTGAATTGGGGAATTATACAACGTCTTCATATTGAATATTCAATAGGTTACTTCATATTGGATATTCAATAGGTTTCTAAAATTGAAATCCAAAAAATTTAAAAAAGCTCAATCTGAAACTGTGCTGATAGGATTGCCATTTTGGATCAAAATGATAGCACCTACACATGAGTCTAGGGTTGTGGCCAGGGGCGGCGCCAGAGCCAATGAAGTGGGGTCAATTGACCCCACTCAACTTTTTTTAAAAAAATTTATATATAGGACTTAATTGATAAAAAAAAATTTTAAAAAGTATATTTAAGTGAAAAAATTTAGAGTTTTTAACCTAATTGACCCCACTAAAAATCAAAATAAATAAATCACCCCACTGAAAATTATTTCTAACTCTGCCACTGGTTGTGGCCATGGATCGGAACTTTAAGATGGCAGACCACATATATGGGACTCCTATGTGGTTCATCCTACATCACACCTAATGAACTTTCACACCAAATTGACGAACTTCACACCAAATTGACCTGTGTACACATATCAAATCTCACAAGTCTAATTCTGTCTGGATTGATTTATCAGTTTCAAATTGTATTGTTCTATTTTTGTGAATCTAATTCTTGAGAATGTTTTTATAGTTCCCATAGTATATTCTTAAAAAGATATGTAAAAACATTCCTTGGCCGTCTTGTAATTTGATTCCATATATGCCTGGGTATGGGAACATGTCTTGTGTCTTTATCTTTTATCACTGTCGCTGTCGCTTACTTCTTTTTGTATTTTTTGGCTCAGGATGTTGCATTAGCATCTGTTTCAATGAGGCCAATACCCTTTGCACCAGTTTTGGAGAAGCTTTGTCTTTCAGACATGAAATATGGAACAGTTAGACGGTTTTATATAGAAACTCCTGAAGACAATGCCATACCCATTGCACTACAGGAAAGCATGATAAACTCAAGTCCCCCAGAAAAGGTTTTCCGTTTAAAAGGTGCTGATCACTCACCTTTTTTCTCAAAGCCTCAAGCCCTTCACAAGATATTGGTAGAGATTTCTAAGATGCCTTCATCTTGATAGATTGGTAATTAGATGACTTCTTAAGAGTCTGTTGAGAGTTTAATTGACATGCTGTAGAATTGCTGCTCGCATTAGTCTTCTCTACAACCGGTTAGAAGAGAAGATTTGGGTGGCTGTATAAATGCCTATACAACATTAAATTATTTGTTGTCTGGTGCTTAGTTCCCATAAAAAATGTCAACCATCTTTATTAGAGCGCAAAATTTAACTCCCATCTCCCCTTTTTTCCCTCTTCTCTTGGTAAGAAGAGAATGTTCATATTTTATTTATGGTAGTGAAGTTTCACACTATCAGAATTGCAAGAGAGTAACGGAAGTCATTTTCCTTGGATCTTGGTTTCCTATTTTTGATTGTTGGGAGAGTGTATTTGAATTCAAGACCACCATAAATTAAAGTAATGAATACAGTAAGATGATAGCTTGTTCCTTGGTTCTTCACTTCTTTACCTTTTTGCACTAATTAGTGAATGCAACTATAAAAAAGCTTACATGTTGAAAATATATAGATATATGCATGCATGGATCCTTTTTAAATCGATATACTTGTATTTGACCACTGAATTGCTATTGTGATAGCAGATTATTTTGTTATTAGATTTATATTTCATGTCATTTTGAATCGTACATATCTATATATATGAGAAATGTAATAAAATAGCAGTGTTCTCCTCTTGGATACTCAAAGTGCAATACAGATGCGTCCTTGACTGCTGGTTTTAATAACCAAAAAAGGTTGGCTGGGATGATAATGAAAATATGTTGCTGCTTGGAATAGTGTTGTGTTGTGCAAGGACCTACAGAACCCAAGGTGGCTGAAGCTGCAAGTTTCAGTCTTTCAAAGAAGCTCTCAACTGGGTCAAGCGCCAAAGTTTCAATATGAATTTTCAATCTGTGATTTTTGAGTCTGATAGTTTAAGCAGAGTCCAAGCTTTGAAGGGACTGAATGGAGAGCTGTTCCTCCTGCTTTGGTTTCTTAAGCCTAGTATATGGATTTGATTTAATGAAGTTTTAGCTTTTAATTAAATTTTATTAAACGTTCACGTGGCTTGTAAAGTGTGGGTATTTATCAAATTTATGGGTTAGTGTCCTTTATCAAAAATGCCATGATTTTTTAAAAGCTTGTATTTTTCTTTTTTTCTTAAATTTGAGGTGTATACCGGCTGTCGTCATGAATGCATGCAACCATCTTCAACAACTGTATTTTAGATTGTAGGGTACCTTCCTTGTGGCTCAGGATTTGATTTCTGAGATTCGGTAGGTATATAATTTGTGTACACAGATGATTTTTCCTCCTGTTTTGGCCATATCTTTGTCATAAATGTGGTATTGGATGATCTAAGCTTAGATCGTGCTTACTGTGCTTGTTTTATACTCCACGGACTTGCTTGATCGGGGGTTGGTTTGAACCGGAATCTAATTGGAATTGATTTAAAAAAAAAAAAAAAAAAACCAAAATTAGTTCAGAATTAATTGATTCTGGGTTGGTCTCAGGATTTCAAGTGAAATCGACTTATTTTCTTAAAGTTGAAAACTTTATAATTAGAAAATTTTAAAAATGTAAAAAATTTATTTTAAAATTTAAGAATATCTAATTAATATTAGAAAAGCTTTTTCTACAACAGCATTACCGTTTCACTACTTAACTATTACCGGAACTAAAGTAAGGAAAGACACGTGAACCATTGCCGTCCTCACAAGAGCTTTGAAAGGAAACTAACAACAGAAGCCAGCTCACACCTCCTATTTTATTTTTTATTTTTATATTTTTCCAAATAATCCCATATATACCTTAAATATCTAATAATAACATTATTTTTGTCTTAATCGTGAGCATTTATATAATAAGATAATGAAATTTCAACCGTCCAATTTGAATTTGATGGTTGAGATCTTACCATTTTTTTTTTTTTTGGAATTAAGATCATACCATTTTTATTCTCTCTTTCTATATATACTCTTCCTAACTTTGATTGCCTTTCAGTTCTCATTTGATTGGGTTCAAAAGAAGAAGAAAAGATGGGCCGTGGAGTTAGCGCCGGCGGTGGACAGAGTTCGTTAGGTTACCTATTTGGTAACGGCGAGAGTGCTAACAATGATAAGGCTGCTAAAAGCCCTTCTTCTCAGAAACCTATTGTTGGTTCACAACCGATAGATAAGCAAATTCCGGCAGGCATCCATGGAAATCTTACCAATAATTACTATCGAGCAGATGGGCAGAACTGTGGTAATTTTATTACGGTACGATCAAATTCAGCTATTCTCTGTGATATAAACTTGGGAAATAATATTTTTGCATGCAATGTGATTGTAAGGTAAGGTTATTTAGTTGATTATGAAGATTTTTTTTTAAAATTTTTTTTTTATTATTGTTATCTGAGAAACCTCATAACAATTATAAAATTTTAACCAAAAAAAAAAAAAAATCTCATGTTGGTCATGTTTAAAGTGCAATTTAAGAAAGTATAATAAAGACTATCTATTTATGACCAATTAATTGAGTGTTATTAAAAAATAATATGCTCAAAAAAGCAAAAGTATATTATTCATTATTAAAAAAGTTTTCTTTTTGAAGACAATTATTAAAAAAAGAAAAAGAAAAAAGAAGAAGTTAATTCTTGCTTTTAGCATAAAACGTACAATAAAAATAGAATAACAGCAAAAAGTATAAATAGAATGACTACTTTGTTTAACGGTTGCCAAAGACAATGATTAAGTAATATATTTTTGGAAATATAATGATTAAGTGATTAAATTTCAATATGCCTCAAGGACTAAATCATAATTTTCAAATTGCAAAGGGTAAAATAGAAAAATCTGATTTAAATTTGGTTGATATAAAATTTGGTGTATAAATAATTAATTAAGATGAATCTGATTTTTTATTTTCTGTTACACATGGGTGCAGGATCGACCGTCCACTAAAGTGCATGCTGCCCCAGGGGGTGGATCTTCTCTTGGTTACCTATTTGGTGGGAATGGGAACTAATCCATCTATATTCCTTTATAATGTATAATTTGTCTAGTTTCTAGGAAGCTCAATTTCTATCTTGGAAATTCTTGTCTAATCTCAATGTTTATGAAAACCTATAGTTTGATTTAGTTCAGTTTGAAAGATTTGTATAAACAAAATTAATAATGATGATATGTAAAAAATAATGCCTCAGTCCCATTTTGTTTACTTATTATTCCTTTGATGGATGTTTCAAAATATTTACAAAATTTCTAAATTTAGACATGTAAATAATTATTTTTTTCATGATAACTTTTACGATCATTTATTAAATGAGACACTTTTATTAATATCTTCAATAAGTTAAAGGTAAAAAAGGACAAAATAATTTTTGTTGACTAAATTCTTAATATGCGTGTTTTGTCAAACTATGCAAACAAAACGAATCAAAGAAAGTATAAATCAAACTAAATCACAAAAAGAGAACTCAAACAACAAAACCTATGGTTTAATTCAGTTTGATTAATTAGCCATTTAAGCATGGCCTAATTCTCTTATCTCTTTGTTCCTGTTCCAAAATACTTTCACATTAATGGTTTCAAGAACTAATAAATATTTTTTTTCCAATATTTACCTTTTATATATAACCAATAATTATTATTTCAATTTAATGGTTTTCTTAAAAAATCAATATTAAATTAAGAGTAATATAATCAATTTACACAATAATTTATTATAAATTAGACAAATTTAATAGATTTCTTAAAAGACATAGAATTTTAAATATGACAAATAATTTATTATAATTTTGACAAATTTAATGGTTTTCTTAAGAGACGTAAAATTTTAAAATTTTAAATGTGACAAATATTATAGAATATATAGTACTTTTCACGAGAACTAAATAGTAAATACCTAATACACAGAAATACGAGGACTGAGTTAATTAATTTTGTAAACACTAAGAAGAAATAATTATTTTAGCATCAAACATTATAATGCTTTTAATCATAGCTCACCAAATATATGTAAAAGACTCAAAGTGAAATGAAGAGCAGCATAACTAATAACCATCCTTAGCCATTGATTGTTATGCTTGAATGCTTCATTAGCTATATTTTTCATCCAAAAAATCATATGCAAGGATTTCTAAGTGCATGATCCATCGAACTAATTTAGTGAATACCATACGATTAATTTGCAAACCCAAAAGTTTCACATGCCCATAATTCCACATTAACACCTAGAAACAACAACAAAGACATGAATATAATAGTAACAAAAACTAAAAATTTCACAAAAAAGATGGCCAAAGCAAGCAATTAATTCATTGCATTCGATAATCAATTCAGAAAGAATTACTAATCAGAAACGTAATTATCACTTGTAAATTCTAATCTCTTCATATCAATACAACACTTTTCACTTCCATAATATTAAGTCCTATAAAGAACAGCGAATTACTCAAAGCAGCCTCAAAATCCAAGCTTGGTACGGCGCCAGTGCCTGCGCTTCGCGTTATACCTACAAATTCCCCAAGAAAGAAGAAAAAGCAAACAATTACAGTAACTGGAATTAATCATTCAATCGAAACGAAATTAACAAAAATGAAATCGATAAAAGATAAAAGAGACGGAACCTGATGGTGTTATCGGTGCGCATGCGAATCCAGTGAGGAATAGGCCTGTTTTGCCTCATCTTCTTCGCTAGCTTCTTCTTAATCATAAAAGTTTTGTGCGACGGCTACATTTAAACAGCAATTTCTAGAATCAGATATCTTATAACCGTATATATAAACATATAAATATACTATATACATTTAGAGACGAGCGGGCGATAGCAAGGAGGGAGAGAGCGTACCATTTTCGAGTCTTCTAGCTGACAGCTTTGCCTACCGATATGTGTTTGCGATGATAAATGCGGCAGCTTTGGAAACCCTAACAGTAAAGCTCAAGTGTTCTTGTATGTATGGTTCGTGTGGGATTTGATCACGATCGTTTATTTTGTTTGCCTTGAAGTAATCTTTACCTTTGATTTTTAACCGCCTATGACTACCGACCTTGTAGTCAATGGACTATGGTCCAGGCAATATGTGGTACTTTTTCAATGTCTAAACAGTAAAAACTTGCTAATTATTTTTCACCAAAAAAAAAAACACTTGCTAATTCTTAATTTCCTTCCTTAAATTTTGTAGTTCTTGTTATTTTCAAAAATTATTAAAAATAACGATATATGATGAGATTCATATTTTGATGTGATAACTTTTAGCATAGATACATATTTATATAGATCAGCGTGGTATAAATAATTATTTAACATTTTAATTTATGAATCGTCAATGATTATTTATTAATCGTAATTATTTAGTCAAATTAAATAGTTTATATACTGAGCTATAATATTTTCCTACAGAAAATTTATACTTATAATATTTTTCAAATAAATGCATTTGACTTGTAAATACTTTTATAAAAATAACATTTAATAAATCATTGAAAATTTATATTTTCATGTGTTTTTTTTATATATTTTAGCAACTTTTGATTTAAATATAAATAATTCTATATATTAAAAATATACTTTTAAATAAAATTTTATGTATAAAAAACAATAGAATATATATATATATGTGTGTTGTGAAATTGATTTTTATCAAGGTCTAAATTTAGCAATGAATTATATATTTTTCATCCAATTTTACGTCGATTGTACAATATAAAAACCTGTAGACGATATTTACCGTGCATAAGTGATAAACACTGAAAAAGAACTGCAGCGCCCATCAGACTAAAGGTCCCGTAGCTAGGGTTTTACATTCTCTCTCTGCAGCGAAAGAAATTTTAGTATAGCCGCTGCAGACAGCTCTTGCAATGACGACCGTCGTTCCCACCTCCGAAGAAGATCCAGCCCTCGCCGTCGTCCGTTTCACGTCTGAGCTTGCCTGGGCCGACGCGGGTCCTGAGGTATCCATATATACTTAATAGCATTTTATCGGTACATCTAAAACGTTTGTCTTGTAAAGATTTGCTTTACGAACCAGCCTCTGGTTTAATAGTTTAGCTTTTTGTTTCAATATATTTGGAATGGATTTTGGTCGGTCAGTTAGATTGAGAAAATTAGAGTTCTTTTAGATATATATTTGTCTTTTGTAATTATTGGCTCAACAAAATAATTTATGAGCACGAGTATTTGGCTTGCTTGATTGGTGTATAGTCGTAAAAGGAATGCCGTTTTTGTTTTTAAGGATTTTTTTCTTCGTGGATGGTTAAATTGGATGTCATGCTGTAATTTATAATGAATTCTAATGGTGTATCATTTGATGCTCAGGTTGCAGAGCAACAAGTTACTAGGCTTTGTGAGGAGGCACAGGAATGTATGGTGGTGGGCAGATGGCTGGACCTGGCATCTTTAATGCTCACTTCTGCTGATTTGATATTTTCCAACTCTAAGGTCTCAGAGAAAGGTAGGGTTCTTATCTGTGATTATGAAATTGTAGTATTATATTTTTCCTGTGGAAACTTAACTGTGGTGGTGGGGAGGTTGATAGCCCTACGCTTTTAAGTAGGTGGACAATGCTATGTATTTGAGCAAATATGTGAGAAAATAAGTTAATGCTATGTATTTGAGATGTGTTTGCTTTTGGATCAGTTGGATCATGTGGTCAAACATTCAACTATTGTGGTTGGTTATACCTCTTTATAGGAGTAGGAAGATGTATGTAAAACTTGTTGGAGTTTTCTTAGTTCAGATTCTGAAGAATTAGATCAAATGAGGGTCTTATGGCGTTTGATGTATTATTGATGCCACGAAACCTGCCAACTTTTAGAAACTTGCAGAGGAGGGTGTTTATTAGTTTATAGATTCTGCTTGATGTTATCTTGGAGGTGCTTGCAACCTACTTGCGGATGTGGCTCGTGAGATTGGCTTGAACTGAAATCTGAAGACTAACTTACCTGTTAAGTTTATACAACTAAGCACATAGCTTGATTGCTGCCGTTTCTTCAGTTATAGCAACTTCACTGCAAAATATTTCTCATTTATTTGAATTGAAACAACTTTGCCTTATCAAAGTCCCTCACATTGTTGCTTCAGTTCTGCCTCCCCTGTTCTAATCTTAAAAAACATAGGCTTATTTTTATGATTTGATCAAGGAAAACTAGTGGAAGTCTTCAAAATGAATAAGGGTAGTTTATTGTAGAAGGCTTCCACTAATGCAGTGTGTGGGCAGCAGTCGATATCTATTTAGCCCTTCCTTGTGTTATGCAGAGGCTAATTCTTTGTTTTCAATGATGAGTTAAGGTGATAAAGCTACTTTCAACCAGCAATATTTTCCATTACATAAACTTCTTGTGTTCATATTATGCTGTCTATCTACATTTTATTGTTATGGTACATATATTACTTTTCACTTAAGCATAATATGCTTATAATTCGTTATGGCAGAACTTGAGTGCATCTTCACTGTTATCTGCAATCTTGTCACCAAGTCTGAAAGTCCAGATGAAGCGCTTGAGATGGCAAAACTTGTATGTGGAAAAATTATCCAGCAACCTACTGACAAGCCTGCATTGCGATTAAAGATGTAATGTGAATGAGGAGTTCAGTTTTAGTTTAAAAATTTTTTGAAGCATAATCTTATCCTTGCCTGTTTTATCAGCTTGTTCAACCTGTACAATCTACTGGAAAACACATACAGCCGGTTTTATGTTTACCTGAAGGCCCTAAATTTGGCAGTGAGTGGAAAAGTCACAGAACATGTCATACCTTCTTTCAAGAAAATTGACAGCTTCTTGAAAGAATGGAATCTTGAGGTGAAGGATGAGAGGGAGCTTTTTCTCAGCATTGCTAATGTACTGAGAGAGAGTAAGAGGTGAGATAAGAAGCAAAGAGCCTGAAACTAAAAGTACTTTTTCATCTATATAATTGCTACTGTAAAATATCCTTGTTTTGTAATATTCATCAGTATATTCTTATGCTTCCCCTGGCCCCTTTTCCAGCTCAGCGAAGGATTCTTTCAAATTCCTGACCAAGTATTTAGCAACCTTCTCTGGTGAGGATGCATATGCAATGGCTGAAGCCAAGGAGGAAGCTGTGCGCACAATTATTGAATTTGTCAAGGCACCTGATATGTTTCAGGTATATTTCTTATGTAATGTTGCCTGTTTTGTTGCACTAAATTAAATGTGAAGGAAATGCATTTATTTTTGCAGAAAAAATTATCTAAAAACAGCGGAATTTCCATATATTAATCATGTCTTGCTTTATAGGCTTATATTATGTGCTTAAGCATGTTTAGTCTAAACTGAAATGATAGAGACCCATAAGCTGACCATTTTTGGCTTTTACCAAATGATTTATATTTTGGCATATACTATGATACTGTTCTAATAGATGTACATGCTGTACTCTGAATATTGACTATGTCTTCTGTTGTTCTGATTTTATTTTACTTTTAAAATTTGGGTCTTTGTTTTTGCAATTTGCATGGACATTTGAATTATTGTGCCTCCTTTTATTCTCTTCTTGGACCTGCCCATGAGCTGAATTTTGGGTGCTCAGACATTGATCTGTATGGCTCTATTGCAGTGTGACCTGTTAGATATGCCTGCTGTGGGGCAATTGGAAAAGGACGCTAAATATGCATTAGTATACCAGCTTTTGAAGATCTTTCTGACTCAGAGGCTAGATGCCTATTTGGAGTTTCAGGCTGCAAATTCTGCTTTACTGAAAAGCTATGGTAAATGTTTCTTCAAAAAAACATAGTCTGATAGACTGGCTAATGGCCTGATATTGTAAGATTTTTCTCAGTTTCACTTCTTGGATGTTATAGGTCTTGTTCATGAAGATTGTATATCAAAGATGAGATTGATGTCATTGGTGGATCTTGCCTCGAATGAATCTGGTCGAATTCCCTATACCCTTATCAAGAATACTCTTCGGGTAATCTGGCTTCTGTTATAGTTTGATAAAATTTGCTATTCTGCTTTACTTTGTGTTATTTCCTTGTCTGTACTAGTATTGATATGATTTTTGTTTTTCAGATTAATGATGAAGAGGTGGAATTGTGGGTAGTGAAGGCCATAACTGCCAAGTTAATCAGCTGTAAAATGGACCAGATGAATCAAGTTGTACTTGTGAGGTAAAATCTTGTGCTTGCTTCTGATCATAGCAATTATGCTACAGTTCTTGAGATTTTGACTTGGTGAGTCTAATTCTGATGTGTAGTAACTGTACTGAGCGGGTATTTGGGCAGCATCAGTGGCTAGCACTTAGAACAAAGCTAGCAGCTTGGAGGGTAAAATTTCTTGACTAAAATTTAGTTGCTATGTGCATCATCTATCATTAATATGCATCCACTTGTATTTAATCTATTTTTCTTCTGTTTTACCCTATGTGACAAATGAAAATCTTGGAAACTAATACTTTGTTTGGGTCTAATCGTTGTACTGACTTCTCTTCTAGTATCAATTTATTACAGAGTTGATGTTCTTGTATATTTTCCAGGGTAACGTTGCGAATGTGATAAGCACCATCCAATCTAACAAGATTACTGAAGATGGATCACAGGCAATGCAAGGGCTGATGATTCGTTAAGGTTATTTTTTTTATTTGTCATTTTATTCCAAGGACACTATCAATCTGGAGATAGGTGGGACTAATCTTGGTGCGCAATGTGTTTATTTTCAGTTATAATTTGTTTTAGCTAGAGCCATAGTGTATTCAAAAATTTTTGACAGAGGAGTCTTGTAGTCTTGTTTAACATTATACAATTCCGAATGATTTACTGAGATTGTATGTATCATCTTCCAACCCTTTTTTGCTTTTAGTTTTACTGTTAAACTTTTCTTCCTTAAATTAATCTTAAAACTCATTACTGAGTATTCGATGTTGTCCTAATTGCTTTTATCGAAGCTTGTTCAACGCTGGTCAAATGAATTTTGTAACTTGCTAATTCTCATTATATCGCTGCAACTTCTTGCATTAGTGCTTCTATTATACGTTTTTATGCTCTTTATCAGTAAGTATTTTGTGAATAAAGATTACACATTTGAATTATTGAACTTTTCAGAATATTTTTGTTAGTCAAAAATATATATTAGGCAACCGAATTCAATAGCTATTTGTAATCATTAGCTATTGCCTTTTTTTTATATATTACATAAAAAAGCTTCAGCTGTTTCTTTTTTTGAACTGCATCAAAGAACTTGGATTAAATCAAAAGGAACAAGATCTCGCTTCTTCAAGCCAGGCATGGAATCCGCCTTAAAATTATTATTTATAATAACAATAATATCAAATAAATGGAATAAATTCATACGAAATTTATTTATAAATAAAAGATTATTTGTAAATGAGTTATAATGTTTGGATTGACCTTGTACCTTATTAGTTTGTATTTCAAATTTATTAGGTTTCCACCAATAAATTGCGAGTTCATTTGGTTGGGAATAACTAAATTCACATTATGAAATTTAAAAAAAATATATGTTATGAAAAATTTATAATTCTAGATAAATTTTCAATCCAATTGACGGATTTAGATATAAAGTCTTCAGCCTTTGTAAGAGTTGAAAGGGCCAGTATTGATTCAAAGCCATTCGCATAATAACATTATCTTCAGAACTAATGAAAGTTTGGCAAACATGCCATTATACCTTTCTGGAGCAAACTATTATGTTTATGCTATAGTTTCCAATTTCATTTCTTCAGGACTGCAAAAAATTAGATTGCAGTTTTGGGTTCTTGTAGTTGTCTCCTGACTAGTGCAGTGTAAATACCATCCTTGCTGAGAAGTTCTTCGTGGGTGCCGCTTTCAGCTATCTGTCCATCAGATATAACAGCAACAATATCTGCACTTTTGACAGTTGAAAGCCTGTGTGCTATAACAAGAACAGTCCTGCCCCTCATCAGAGAATCCATGGCGTCCTATGGTCCATCGTAAAAAGAATTGTCAGCATACATATATATTAGAAATAAAAAATAAATTCTTAAAAGATTGGCCAAATGAAAAGCCTTCTCATTATATCTTTTAACAGGTTCTAGTGAAACACAAACTTGTTTTTTCTGACAGAACATGCTAGAAGGAAAATGATTCCAAAATTTGTAGTTAGAATCAAAGAGATAGGTGCAGTATAGGGGATAGTCAAGAAATGGAGATGAAATATAGGAAATAGTTAAGAATGGCTCAACCAATACATATGAAAGTCTTTAGTGAAATTATGGCTGAAAATGCAAACTGTACCTGAACAAGGTATTCACTCTCTGCATCCAAAGCACTTGTGGCTTCATCCAATAGCAAAATTCTTGGATTCATCAATAGTGCTCTTGCAATTGCCACTCTTTGTTTTTGGCCTCCGGACAACCTCAGCCCACGTTCACCAACCACTGTTTGATATTTTTCTGGAAATTTTTCTATGAATTCATGGGCATTGGACATTTTCTGCATTGTCATCACTTCATAAGCACATGGATGTATTTGGAAAATGAAAAGTTAGATGTTTAGATTTCTGGTAAAACAGAAAATATGAAGGCTGACTGGATACTTACAGCTACAGTTTCTATTTCAGAAGAATTGGCTTTGCCATTGAACCCGTAGGCAATGTTCTCTTCTATGGAACAATTGAACAGAACTGGCTCTTGGCTCACTATACTGACCTACAGTCCAAGAAACATGGGAAATTGGATATCTTAGAAAATCTATAGATGTTCATGTCATCAAATTTTGATAGACTACAAAATCATGCAAGTGACAATTGAAGAACAAAGATTTGTGTGTCAGTGTGTGTGCACGCAAGCATGAGAGAGTGAGAGAGAGAGAATAGTTGAATGGTAGAAGGGATATACATTAAGTTCAGCATTCTACGGACAGAAAACGATTTAAAACAGTAAAAATCTAAAGATATCAGAATATATTGAACTTAATATTTCAAGAAATTCCAGATCATATGGAGGCAATTTATCGGGCTTATTGTCTATTATATAGCTTAAGTGTGACAATTTGCCACAGTCCACTTCTGTTAATTGTGATGCTGATTAGAAAGGAAATGTTGCCAGCATAACATAAAAAAGGAAAATCTCATCATGAGGAAAATGAATCCCATGCTTGTACAACAAAGGGTTTCACGGAGGAAAATAGTCTGGGTATTTTTAAAAACCTAAATCCATCACCTCATGAAAAACAAGTACGGGTGAAACATTGCAAGGTCCATTGTAATGGTTTTTACTTTAGCATGTGGCTCGCAGTTATAGTCTCCAAACATACTATGAATTTACAATAAGGTACCTTACTGTGAAGATACCCGTGTGATATTTCCACTAATGGAACACCATTTAGCAGGATCTTTCCCTTCAGAGGATCATAGAACCGTTCAATTAAGTTTGCTATTGTTGTCTGCAAGTAGAAACAATGAATGAGTTCTGGTTTTCTTTTACTTCATCTGAAGTGGCAAAAGTGATGTTGGAGTTACCTTGCCGCCGCCACTTGGACCAACGAGAGCAACTTTTGAGCCTGGGTTCAGTTTCAATGTTATGCCCTGGAATTCAAATAGTCGTGGTTAGACACAGTTGTCAGGTTAAAATATTTCCAAAAATCACTGCATTGTTTGCATCCAAATATTGCAACCACAAGAAATTCCAAAACGCTTGTACTGAATATGATCTACATTTTGTTAGGGAGCAAAATGAAAAGTCAAAAGAAATAAGCAATATCAGAAGATAAGTTGATTTTTGTGTAAATATTATAATAGGTATGTGAATCTTTTTGTTTTTAATTGGGTTGAAGCATTACCTTGAGTACCATGTGACTAGGACGAGAAGGATAAGCAAACCACACGTCATCCAATTCCACATCCCCATCTGGATCACTGCCCAAGAAGCATGCAAACTTTGGTTGGTATATCTCTGATCTTAAAATATTAAGAGAACTTATTTTCAATATCCACTGCAGACATACAAATACTGATGACTGGGAAAATGTAAGTGTATCAATTCTCAAAATACAGTCAAAATGATTGAAGTTAAATTCTAGTAAAATGGATTTCCAAGATGAGGTTTGCATGAGAGAGAGAGAGAGAGAGAGAGAGAGAGGTGTGGACTAACCGAACAGGGCACTTATCTCCCGATTTTGGCATGCTTGAGACACGATCTAGGAGCTGAAAAACTCTCCTACTGGCCCCTGCAGCTTTCATTGCAGTAGTATACAATCCTGACAAAGAAGATACTGAAGAACCAACTGCATGCAGAAAGATTGGCCAAAATAAATAACTAATTCAAAGCATCAGAAGCTGCAA